TAACTCCCGAAGAAATGATATTTCAGTAACGTTGAATGAGTGAAGAATCTAAACTAAAAACCTGGTCCCTGTTGGCCCACTGTAACGCCTACCAGTATTCAGCAAACTTTTTTCACCCACAGCACACCCCAAGTTGTCACTGACACATAACGACTCAACACAACATTCTGTACGAATATTTTGCACACATTTCTCATTTCTCTCCATGCGTGCCAATGTCATTCGCTTTTATTTAAGAACTCTGACAATAATAAAATCATGAAACTCCTCACTGTGAAATTCTCTGCATCTTCTTGTTCTGTGCTCTTTTTTAGACCAGAAATTCTTTTGGTCTATGTACACAAAACCGCCACGGTGGTCTAGCGGTTAGAACGCTGGCCTTGTAATCCTGGGATCTCGGGTTCGATTCCCGGCGGTGAACGAATTTATAACTTGTGTTGGGCAAGGCCGTGGTCTAGGCATCACGGAGTTTTCCTCCGGGGGGCTTCCCCGGTTTCTCCGTGGCATCCCAACAATTACTCCATTCACACACAGAAGAAGGCAATGGCAAACCACTTCTGGATCATCTGCCAAGAACGTATATGAACAGGTCCCAGTCCGAGAAAAGGATGGGAGGATCCTGTTCATAATACGTCGCCAACCTCCTGTAAAGGAGACGGCGTAATAAAGAATATGTATACAAATGTGAAATAAAAAGAAAAGTCCTTCAAATATGTTAATTATTGTTTTCTTATGATTTATTTAGTGATGCTGTCAGCAACGCGAAGTAATTATACTGGCATTTGCCTGGAGACTAAGGAAAACACTGAAAAAGCTCAATCAGTATAAAAGATCTCTGGACTGAGATCTGAAGTTGGCATTTTGTGTATATGAAGCAGGTGTGCTAACCACTCGACCACAACATTCAGTGTCTTGTTATGTGATCTGAATTAAATGTGATAATAGGTAATAAACCAGACAGTGAGGATCCTGAAGGTATCTACCCAACATTCGTGACACAGACGTCGGGGCGCCGGGTTCCCGTGGTACAAGCTTATGCCTACACAAAATACTTGGGTCAGTTGAACCTTGAGTTCAATTCTCTGGGAGAAATCACAAACGCAGTTGGAAATCCATTACTCCTCGATCATAACACAGAGCAAGGTACGTGATGCTTTGTCATTACAAATATATTGGTATTCGGACATTTTTACTTTCCTACTCTTTCTACCCCTCCTAACTTCCCACCGTTAAACATTCAACATGTTATAATTGCCTGAAAGTTTCTGCTTTATATAATTATGACTGGATGTAGTAAGCGTCACCAGAGACTAAGAATCAGTCTCTCCAGCAAACATCGAGCAAATTGTAGATGCGATTTCTACCTACGGCAATTTACAAAGGCCATGAAGACAGAGAACTGCATAACTAAATAAGAGATATTCATAAATTTTAAACATTTTTTTATGCTATTTACTGTTCTTAACATGATTATCATTTTGTACGCTGTCCATCATTTTTTTCTTCTTCTTCTGTGGCTCTCCAGTCCATATTCGGTCCATGGCCTCCTCTTCCATTCGGTCCTCTGTTAGGTCCGTCTGTCCGAGGCTTTGATCGAGGTTTCGAAACATCTTCCTTTTTACGGTGCAAGGTTGTTAGCCTTGCGACCAACCCCCGACCTAGAGGACGAGGGTACCTGTCATAGGCTGACCTCTCCCCCTTGACCAATCTGGCTAGGGAGGCCCTACCAGTAGCTCTTGGGGTCACCGAGGTACTCAAGCCCCACCACCACGACAAGGTGCAGGTACCATTAAGTGGGGGTCCATCATTTTAGGTTTTCTTAAACACGATCTTTTGGAAACTGGGTCTATTTTAATCAGACGACAGGAACGTCGTACTCTACTGGATCACCCCCCCCCCTCATGTACGGACAGAAGCAGATCCAGTGTCAAGGCAGTTTTCAGAAGAAAAAAAAAAGATTATGGGCAGTGTCCAAAATAACAAAAACAATAAAATATTAACTTAAATATTACGATCGTGTAAGAATAATTAATCTTTATAAGTTCCGTGGCATAATTCAATAACACACTCTTCCTATTATATCGTTATCCTAGAAAATATTCAGTAAAGCTTCATTCAACCCTTCATGGAATATTACGTAAATCTATTTCAGTGAATGTTTAAACTTGAGAGCAAGAAAAAGGAAGAACCTCAAGGGAGTGTTCGCACTGCAGCAACTGTCAATGGCAAGTGAACTGAAATTCCCTGATTGTTCACACTGAAGCAAATTGCAGTAGCTGGATTTAACGGTAAATTAAATTCTGGATCATTTGTAAACAAGCAGTCATCAACTGAAGTCAACGTACAAGTAGCGCCGTCAGTCGCTAGCGACTCAAGCTGCTCGACTACGCAGCAGGTTGTGTTGGAGTCGAGTCGCGATCGGACCAGTGCGTGTGCGTCATAGTGAGGGCAACTACAGTTGCACTGAGTTCCTGTTGACAGTTGCTCCAGTGCAAACACTCCCTAACACAATTTTTCTACTTCCAGATCCCTCTGTGGTCGAGGAACTAAATAAGTGGAAAAAGAACACGACATTATTAGAAAGGGTAGAGATCGGAAAAACCAAAGTTGTACTAGACGGAGACACTGTACACTGTCGTGTGATGGAGTGCAACCTCGGGAATTTCATAGCAGATGCCTTTATGGACTATGTAAGTACAGCCAAAGAGAAATTATATTTCAGCAATTGAAATTATCAGCTGAAAACTTTTTAGAGTAATGGCTGATTCATTACAGGGTTTTAAAGTCAGTAACTTTACTGTTACGTTGACAGAACTCAAATCGAAACAAAACAAAGGTGGAAGAGTATACTCTGATGGAGTCAATATATTTCTACGTCAATTGTAGTCATGAATATTTCATTGGTCCTCCAAATAAAGAATCTGTTGCATATACAAATGCATTTTTACAAAGCTGCTGATCGGACTACAGATACCTTTTATTCGCATGTCACTTACCTTGACGTACACATTCCAGTCCTAACGGGCCATTATCAGTCTCTCGTTTACCAATACGAAATCATTGGTTTGCCATTACTCTAGGATTATCATCACTCATTTCTTGTCATCCCTTTGTTATCGCAAAACCAAATATAAGCTGCAAGGAAGGTATAAAATAATGTAAGTTGTCATGATAATCTATGTAAAAATACAGTAAAGTTTGATTTCATCTTCGATACAGTAAAAGTAACGTTAACACCATGTGGACAAAAATTAAATTCACCCGACAACATTTAGCGTAGACCCCTAATACCAAACTGCACTGCGATCCATTAATTAGTTTCTGTGATGAAACATGCAGATGAATAGACAAATACAACCTAACCATAGTACATTCATTTTATGCACTTGTATTATAATATATCAAACCGATGGAAGTGGAAAGACGTCATAAAGACATACAATTTGTATACATCGCTTCCTCATACACTTTGATTTTAAAATACTTTCTTACTATGTTAAGTTTGAATGCTGAATTGTTTCACTAAAAGACAAGCTTAAGGAACAGTAAGAAGTTATTCTTGTTCATTTCAGATGGCTCGTTTGCATAGGCTGAATCACAGAAAGGGCTGGACTGACACTCCAATTGCAATTCAAAATAGCGGTTCAATTCGTGCGTCTATTGATGCTCGCGGCAATGATGGCAAGTCCACCTGTCTAACTAGTAATGTAGTCTGAAAACCTGTATTTGAATAATCAATGCTTCAAAACTGAAGTTACCATTCTAATTAAAATGAAAGTCATCAAAAATTATACTGGACCTCCTAAAAAAGTATTAACAAAATATCAGAAGTCTGAATTAAATTGTTTTTGTTAAGATTAAAGTAAAACGTTAAATTCTGGATGCAATTACTATACAACTATGACTCCATTGCCAAATTATTTCAGGAACAGGATGCACCAAAGGAAATAATAAATTTACTTAAAGGTAGGAGTGTCTATGAGATGTTACAATTTGTATGTTTACATTACATAAAGCTTCACGTACCAAAATCAAATATGATAACAAAATGTCTTACCTGATGTAGGCAAAGTGACAATGGGAGATCTCGTGGCCGTACTTCCATTTGTTAACAACATGGTACGGATGAGCCTGAATGGGTCTGACATCTTGGATATGCTGGAGTGGAGTGTGTATGATTATAACGCACATGAACATAAGGGCAAGTTTCTTCAGTATTCAGGTAAGCAATAAGCATGTACATAAAATATGACATGTATTTCTGACAATTCATCCACTGAGTGATAAGCTACAGCTTCCCTGAAAATAAAATATGAACAATGTTAATAGATCCATAATCATCATCACAATCACAATCATATTCATTAACAAATCCATATTCATGATACAGATGAAATCTACTGCATAATCCAATTCCATTTCTACTGGAATGTGTACTCAGAGGAATATTAACAAGAATATATGATTCCAAATATGATTAATACGTACATGATTATGTCACACTCTGGACTGAGGCTCGAACTGTGGCAGGGGCAGTAAGGAACATCCTACTGGCAGCTTATGTTTTGAATAAATTTCCAAGACATTTACAGTGTCGTTGAGGAACATCCTACTGGCAGCTTACGTTTTGAACAAATTTCCAAGACATTTACAGTGTCGTTGAAAAATTACGCTTCGTACATTTTTCTGAGAATTCAAGGTAAAAAGTAAATTTTGCAAAATAAGACTTTGAATGGACATCATTATAATTAATAAATAACAAAAATAATTTTGCAACAGAAACTGTTTCCATACCAGTACACAGACAATGAAATGAGATCTCTGCTTGCTTTACAAACCTTACGTAGTGTCATTAATGTCTGTATGTAATTACAGGTTTGAGAGTGGAATATGACTTAAACAAACCAAATGGGAAACGTGTTACAAAAGCCCTTGCAAGATGC